AGGGACGGGGGAGGCATCTCCTTCTGTAAAGACCCCCCTTGGAAACCCTCTGAGGCAGCTCAGCTCTGCTCTGTAGGCTTCTGAGCCAGAATCACAATGTGGTCCCAGTTCTCATTCAAGGCAGTTTATGGCTCCCTGAAAGCCCCCTGGATGGTCAGTTCAAAGCTCATCTGCCTGGGGTTGACCCCAAGACACTAGTGTGTTGAGCTGCTAGCCATCAGTCTCTGGGTCAAGTTCACCCACGCCTCCCCTGGGGAGCATGGGGGTCTCCCTCAGATTTCCAGCCTCAGGAGTCTTCCCGAGGGTCCTGCCCGAGGGTCCTTGTGGGTGGGAGTGGGTAGAAGAGGACAGTAGTGGTGGACAGTAGTGAACTCTCTGAAGAGTTATGGTCACATTTTGCTCAAGTGCCAGTCCTGGCGCGTGGACATACAGCTTCTCTCCCTGGACAGTCCTCAGGACGATGTCTTGAGCAGTGTGGCTCTGTGGCCTGAGAGGCGCCAGGCCCTCGACCCGCTGCACTGTGGTGTCCAAGCCTCACTCACATCTCGAGCCCTGGACCCCAAACCCAGACGCACCCTCAGGCCCATAGCGTCCATGTCGTCACCTCCAGCTCTTCTCTCCGTCCGGAAAGCTCCCGGACAGTGGACACAATGACCCACAAAATAGGGGGGAGTCTAGGGACCTCGAGTGTGTAAACACACTGGCTCAAGTTCATGACCAAGGCTCCATGTCCCAGGCTCCTGCTGCCTGAGGCCACCTCATGACAGATTGCTCACAGCACTGCCATTCTGGTCCCTCTCAGCAGCTGCATGGGAACAGCGTCCACTTCACCGATGGCTATGAGGTCAAGGAGGACATCGGGGTGGGCTCCTACTCCGTGTGCAAACGGTGTGTGCACAAGGCCACGGATGCCGAGTACGCCGTGAAGGTAAGGTGCCGTCCACAGCAGCCTGGGATCTGGCGGCGGGCAGGCGGGGTGACTCCAGGGCTACACCTGAACCCCACATACACTGTGGCCTCCGGTCCCTCTGTAGGGGGCCTTCCTGACTCACTGCCCCTGCGCTGGGAGGGACCGGCCGGTCTGCATCAGAAAACGTGCTTTGCAGGTCAGGCGTGCAGGCACTGGGCACCTTGAAGAGGCTCCAGTGTGATGCACACTTAGCAGGAGAGCTTCGGGTGCCCAGGGCTCTGATCCAGTGGGGACAGGGACAGGCAGAGCATTTGGCTAAGGAAGGAGGGAGGGAGGACACGGAGCGGAGAGGGAGGCAGGCAGGCAGGTGTAGCTGTGGGGAGCTTGCTTTGTCTTCCTGTCCCCTATCCTAACGGGCGTTAAGAGAGAACCCAGTGGAGACCCGCTCTTTGGGCATCTAGACCCCACGCCCCACACAGACGCAGAAAGCAGACTTCCCTGCATTCTGTATAGACGCGGGAGCATCATGACCCTGTATTTGCACATGCAGGGAGCACCCAGGTGCACCTCGGGAATTTCCTGGGCCCACGATCTAGTCCTGGGTCCTTTTCTCTGTCTGGGTACTAGCAGTGGTCCAGCCAGTGGGGGGCGAGGCCATTGTGTTATCCGGCCGAGCTCAGGAGCAAGCGGCAGCCTCCTAGCGCTGACCTCACCCACCAGTGTCTGCCTCGGACAGGAGCCCCCGTTGGCAGAGGCCCCCCACACCCAAGTAGTGAGGAGACTCATCAGCTGGACTCAGCTTGATGCCCAGACCCTGCGGAGGCCAGGCTGAGACGGAGGAAGACGAGGGCTGCAGCCAGAGCCCTTAAGGGAAGAGAAGCAGGTGCCCCTGATGGGACAGCACAGCCTCCACCTTCCTGTTTCCTTCTAACCTTGAACTTGGCTGGGAAAACGCAGAGGCTCTGCATTGCCAGGGTCCCTTCCCTTTCAGGGGTTGCAGGGGTTCCTGCTTAATTGTCTGCAAGATGCTTCAGTCAGCTGAGCACAGGAATGAGCCCTGCTGGGTGGGGACCCGGGGGTGCCGTCCATGCCCCCCGCTGCCGCAGGACCTTGAGCTGGCACTGCGGTGACCACGGTCCATTCACGCCTCTGAGGGCAGCACAAATGTTTGGATTCCTCTGCCAGACGAAAAATCCACAGGAGTTCTCTGGAGAAGAGGCCGTGGTTTCCGTGGAGCCTCCTGCTACCCTAACTCCCCGCAGGTCCACCTTCTACCTGCTCTTAGCACTTTCAGGGTGAATGTAATTGAAACTTGGTTGGCCTTTTTCTGGGGGTACCCAGGTACTTGGGGGGGAGGAATCAGAGAAATAGCCCAGTTATGTGTTTGTTGGTGTGGCCTGTGCTGTCCGCGCCTGAGATCCTGTTTAACAATGTCCATTCCCAGAACTCCCTCTGCCACTCTCAGCGACCGCCACACCAGCTGAAAGCCTAGCCACCCGGTGTTGGGTGACCGTGCGTGTACACAGAATGCTGGTGACAAAGTGGTTAAAAGGCTTGGCTGCTAACCTCAAGGTTGCCGGTTCGAACCCATCAGCCATTCTGCTCCCATGAGTCTGCAGTTCCTCCCCATCCCCCAGGGTCACTGAGTCGGAGTTGACTACGGCAGCGGACTTGGTTGGGGGAATTTGGTGGTTTGCTTCCTTGCACACGAAAGGGCGTCTCTCATATTTTGAGAAACATCTCGATCAAAATAGGGAAGGGTGTACACCAGGGAT